CACTCTGCTCTTACTGGTGCAATGTGCAATCAATGAAGACTGGCTACCAGGCTGGTCCAATTTAGCCATGAAACCTCCCACACTAAAATGACAGGTGTTTCAGTTTCATTGTCCAACCCCTGTACACGTATGGTCACACTGCTGCACGAAAATACAATCTTTGCCTTGTCTCTGAGCTAAAATATTATTGTTTGTTTTAATCTATCTTGTAATATGAAAATTGTAAGGGTCAGAAATTATAGGTCCTCCCATGTTTTTGGCTGAAAATGTTTAACGTGAATATAATGTGTTTTTATGTCACATGCAGGAGACAGAAATGAAAGTTTTTCACTGGATACATTTCTCCACCAGAACATTTTTTGCTAATACAAAATCAACCTGTAGGATGCAGATGAATCACAGAGGCCCAGAGTAATGCTCCCTGTATCCATGCATGGCCTTTTGGAGGTGTTTTGAGCGACATCCAGAAAGAAAGCCCACATTTAAAACAATGATGATGATTATCGTTGATCGATGATGGTGGCACAGGTGGTAGCATTTTTGACTTGCACTTGGAAGGTCCTTGGTTCAAGTCCTGGCCAGAGGTCTTTCTGCATGGAGTTTGGATGTTCTCTCTGGGTACTCTGGCTTCCTACCACAGTCCATAAACATGACTCTCAGGTTAATTGGTCTCTCTAAATTGCCCTTAGGTGTGAGTGAGTGTGTACGTGGTCGTTTGTCCTGTGTGTCTCTGTGTTGCCCTGCGATGGATTGGCGACCTGTCCAGGGTGTACCCTGCCTCTTGCCTATAGATTGCTGGAGATAGACACCAGCTCCCCCGTGACCCACAATGGAAGAAGTAGGTATTGAAAATGGATGGATGTATAATATACATTGATATATATATTTATTGGAATGCATAATTGTGGAATCTGAACTGGTTTTCCTAGTGGGTTAAAAATTGATCCTCTACGAAATGTTACAAGAGATGTTTGAAAGAGTATGCAACTGTCGTGATGAAAGGCATTTTTATGAAATACTTGTTTATGCTGTGTTTTACTGGTCTATAAAAGAACACACAGGCACATCTCAATAAATCAGAATGTTATTAAAAGGTTCATTTATTTCAGTAACTCGATTCACAAAGTGAAACACATTTTATAGATTAATTACCCACAGACTGATGTTTTCAAGCCTTTATTTCTGTTAACATAATTTTCGGCTTACAGCTAATGAAAACACGACATTTGAGATTAGAATATTACATCAGACCAATAAACAAACATTTTTAATACAAAAATGGTAGCTTAATGAAAATTATGTTTAATACCTGCCTAAAGGATGTTATTTTTCAAAAGGTACTTTTAATCTGACAATGATCCTCATTGGAACCTGTATTCTAATTTACTGAGATGAACATGTAATAATTGTTAGTGCCATGAATGCAAATTCTGCACTTCGACAAAGTATTTGGGTAATGAATAGACTTTTGCTCCCACCGATGATCACACGTCTTGTGTATTTTTAGTGCCTAAGACACTAAAGCACATTAAGAGTGGTGGGACACTGTGATGAAGGATGAGAAAGAAAAGAATCAGAAAAAGTTGGTTTAAATTTGGTTTGCTCGTCATCGACGGGGTTATTTCAACATTCAGCAATAGCATCAAAATTCTATGTTTATCTGATATTGTGGAGCCCTAGCACAGTAGATCAGTGGCAGTTCTTGACCAAATTGCACCCTAAGCAAGTTCCTCCACCACCTTCTCCACACACACACACACCACACACACACACAGCTATTTGTAAAGATGCAAATTTTTTTTTAATTTCCTGGTTTAGCATAGCCAAATGCCCAACAACCTCACCCAATCTAGTATTGTTTGATTGACAGCAAACACAACCTGATCTCTATTTTTTTTTAATTTTTAAAATTGTTTTACAATTTACAGAGCCACCAACTCTACAACTACTGCACATGCACAAAAGCAATAGAAAACTTATTCAGGGTGTATCTGACAGATAAAAAAAAGGATTTTTTTAATGTGGGGCTCATGCTTCTCCTGTTCTAATGCCGCCCTGGGCAACCGCCCACATGGCTAATATTAAACGGCCACTGCCGTAGATGTAAAAATATACGCACCTCTGTAAAAATGCCAAATTTTCATTGAAAAAAACAAAACACAACAAATTTGGCAGGTTAAAATTGACAGTTATCCTGCTCAAGTCAACAAAGAAATCTGTTGGAAGAATATGGAAATTTGTCTTTAGAAGCTTACAGCAGGAGACGTCAACTACTGGTGACAAAATCTCCATGACAGCTGCCCATATGGGCAGATGTGAGCGGCGGCTTGTATGAGATGCATGTTTGAGTGTAAGGCAAAACCTGACATCTGTTTGGGAGACAATAAATTAACAAGTTTGTCTGCAACCGAGGAGTGTCTCTCAAAACTAATTGCTCATGCACACATATACACACATGGCTGGGTGGCAAAAAAAAATTATAAAAATATAACCACACAGTAATTAGACAAGCTGTCATAAACGTGACAGAGAGGAGTTAAGCATTACAATAGGTTTAATGCAAGGAAAAGTTCTACAAAATAAATTTTGAAAGTTTCCAAGCAGTTCTGATAGTGTTAAATCATTTTATCAAAGCATGGAGATACAGGGGCTGCCAAAAAGCAGCTAATATTAACTTACTGCATCTTTTATGACTCAGAACATCAAACTGCTGAGCAGTTCTAATTTAACAGACATGAAAACACACTCCCATGAAAAGGACGTTATTTATTTATTTATAAAACAGATGTTTCAACCAGTGACTCATAAATGTGATCTCATCTAACCCAACTTATCTTCATATCACTGTGACTGCGCTGAATTCTGCTTTAACAATCTAGTTAAGAAGACAAAACAAAAATAAAATGTAATTCAAAAATTTGCAAACCATTAGCTGAATGGATCAGGCAGGCCTGTTAACCTGATGTTGACAGGTCTGCCTGGACACGTGTTTTTAATGTTTTATTTTCCCACTCTTCCATAAAGATCAAATATGTGGAGTGCACAACAAATACTTGTCCTGTCCACAGATTGTCCCAGCAGAATCTCTGGAGCTCCTCCATTCCTTAAGTTATGATGCTACACTACCTGCTTCTCTGATTATTATTCTCCTTGCCCAATCAGTAGGTTTAGACAGACATCCATGTCTTGAGAAGTCTGCAGTTGTGCCATCACCCCAATTTCAAATGATGAACTGAAAAGTGTTCTGGGAGATGTTCAAAGTCTGGAATGTTGTTTTACCACCTAATCCTGTTTGAAAACTTCTCCACAACTTTCTTCCCGACCTGTCTGACATTGTTGAATTGTGCAAATATGCATGGTAATGATCTGGGCATTCTGACTGTTAGGTGTTCATCAAAGAGACTGCCAGGGGAAAGAAACTGTCTCTGTAGTGCTGACCTGATGGTGAAAGTCTAAACAGTTTGTATCCAGGATGTGTGGGGTCTGCAGAGATGTTGGCAGTCCTTTCCCTGACCCTAGACCTGTACAAGTCCTGCATGGAGGTGTCATAGTTTGGGGTTGAGAAGGAACAAAGCGACAGCAGGACGTTGGCAGGTGCATGGTAGATGGATAAATTTAATAAAATAAAGGTCCTGTTCATAATTTTTATGGACAGGATTTCTAGGCGCAGCCAAGGGCTGGAGGGGGTCTGGTTTGGGGACCAGTGGATTTCGTCTCTTCTTTTTGGGATGACGTGGTCCTGATGGCCCCCTCCAGCAAAGACCTACAGCATGTGCTGGGACGGTTCGCAGCCGAGTGTGATGCGGCTGGGATGAAGATCAGCTCCTCCAAGTCCGAGGCCATGGTTCTCAACCGGAAAAGGGTGGCTTGTCCTTTTCAGGTTGGAGGGGAGTTTCTGCCTCAAGTGGAGGAGTTCAAGTATCTCGGGATCTTGTTCACGAGTGAGGGAAGAATGGACAGACGGATCGGTGCGGCTGCCGCAGTAATGGGGGCACTGTGCTGGTCCGTTGTGGTAAAGAGAGAGCTGAGCCGAAAAGCGAAGCTCTCGATTTACCGGTCGGTCTACGTTCCTACCCTCACCTATGGCCATGAACTTTGGGTCATGACCAAA